TGAATACTAAGAAATACATTTTGAAATATCATATTTTTTACAAATTGGAGATACTAAAATATAAAATTTGTGTCTAAAATGACTGCAGACTGGGGATATAGCTCAGTGGCACAGCACCTACCTGGCAAGTGCAAGGTCCTGGGTTCTATTCCCACTTGCAAAACATAAAAGCTATAAAGCAAAATGATCACAGTGAATACTGAAGAACATGAGGTATTTAGTATATCTTATGTACACGGCAATTTTGTTTAGGGCCACTGATCATACAAATAGCCCATGTTTGTATATTTTACCATAAAGTACAAGTTCTATGCACCTAGAATCAGTGAGTCATTTAAATCAGATAGTCAGAGAAAAATGCCAGGGGGTCAATATGTTAGGGTTTCACTCATAGTTGACTCAAATAAATATTTAATAGTAATGGTGACTAGCTAAAAATCAACAGTAAAAGTATACTATAATATTAATAAAGACAGGATTGATAAAATTAGGGTAAGATAACTAAAAAAGGATATTTTTGATAAAATTTGGGTAAGACAACTAAGAAGGCAATACACTATTAGGAAATATATAAAAAGGGAGGGTAGAAGGCAGGTAATGATTTCTGAGAATGGAGACAAAGCAAGTTTCTACAAATTCTCTGAGAATTGAAAAGACCTTTTGAGATGTTTAACACCAATGAAAACAACAATCAAAATTATGTGACAGTACATCCAGAAAGAGGAACAGAATTTCTTTTTACTAAAGTACTGATACTTTCTACCAAAGTACCGATAGTTAATCTACGTGACATTCTGAGATACTTTTAGGTTTGTAACTAAACCTGATTTTTATTTCACATTTACCAAGATTTTTGTAAGAAAATTAATCTTTTACTTGTTGGCATTTGCCAGATGCCTATCTGTAAAAAATAAGAAGTAAAAGCATCCCACCCACCAGTTTAACAGCTGGACTTAAGAAAATATGAGACAGCTCTTGATGGGAGAAGACAAACAAAAACAAACCTAATAGACCTTAGTCAAATTAGAAAAAGAGGATGTTTAATCAATTAAAGTGTTCTTCAACTTGAAGGCAAAGAACTATGGAAAAAGAAAGAAACTCAACTTTAAGCCAAACAATAAAAAACAAATTGAATGAAAAGGTTGTAAAACTTTTACCACTTTTGGTCAGCAAGAAATTTTGCGTGAATTTTTGATTATTTAAACTTCAAAGCAATTTCGCAATGAGGTATGTGATATTTTCTCAGAATGGATAGTTTCTTAATTTGAAAAACACTTCTTTTGACCCTGTACAATAAAAAATAAAATTATATGAAGCGAAAAATGCACAAGCTGTATTTCATGTCTTATATCAGTGCTACAGGCTAGTAACTTCATTTTGATATACTACGTACCAATGCTGATGATAAAGTTTTTGAAATGCATTGTAGATAGTAGTCATCACTAAAATCTTTGCAATAAATCAGTGAATGCTGGAGAAACTATAGGTTAACAGAAAGTTTAGATTAGGCGTCAGAAGCCTTGACATTTAATTCTAACTCTGCCACTAACTGATTGGATAATTCACTTAATATCCTTAGCCTTAGGTTCTTTTTTTTACTCAGTAATGAAGATGTTATTTTAGTTTCTTCCTTTTTCTATTAAAATGAATGAATCTAAAAATATGCCATAAACATTTCTCAATGAGTCTTCTATTCAGACCTTACAATTTTTTTACTGTGACAGGTATTAGCAACTAATAGTATGCTTTACCAACAAAGACAGACTCAAGCACAAGTTTTTGTGTCAGTATATAAGCTCTTCATTAAGTTTTGGGGATATAGTTCAAAAAGTATTATGCTTAGTAAAATTAAAGTTAGTAAGACCAAGATCTCCTAAAGGACACTGGTTAGCAAGAGATAAAAAGGAATCAATATGTTGTCATTAAATATATTTTAAAACTGTTGTAATATAAATTCTAGAGAACATCTATGTCTAAAGAAAGCCTAATTTATTAGCTTTGTAAAGCTACTCTAATAGGTGAGCTTTCTTCACAATCACCTTTGTTTTCAATGTGCATAATATTTTCAATTATACAAATTGAAATTGAAGTATTTAGTATATACTTTAATATTATACTTTGTATAATATTTTAATCCACAAAGATAAATATTTATTACAGACTTTAATTAGGGAAATTGAATGTTTTAAAATTGTTTTCCCTATTATATTGAAACTGAATGTCTTTGACCTCATATTTATCACTTTTTAGCTTCAAAATTTCTCTGCCATGAAATTGTTCCAGATTAAAACAGACTGAACAGACACAACAGTTGAATACAATTCTGGATTAGATGTAGGAAAAATAATGCTATAAAATATTGCTATTATATAAAACATTATTGGGATACTGGCAACATTCGAATATGAATTTTATTTTAAAATGTAATATTAATCAATATTTGAAGTAATCAACTGTCTAAATGTGACCACTGTACTGTCATTACATAGGAGAATGTTAAGGTACATACACACTGAAATAATATAGCCATAAATAGGGCATGCTGTCCTCAGTTTACTAACACCTGGCTCAACAGAAAGCAGTATTTTTCATTTGTAGCCAAGCACAGTAGTTCATGCCTGTAATCTCATTATTCTGGGATGCGGAGGTAGGAAGGTCACAAGTCTAAGCCAAGCCCGGACAACTAAGCAATTTAGTAAGAACATGGCCCAACATACAAATTTTCAAAAATGGCTGACGATGTGATTCAGTACAAAAACTTCTGGGTTCAATTTCCATTACCAACAAAACTCATTTTTGTGATAATAAATCTCTGGGGAAAAAATAGGGTCAATGCAAAAGTGGCAGAACGTTAAGTAAATTTGGGTGAAAAAATAGGTATAGAGGTATTATTTGTAATACTATACTTTTTTGACACAGGATTTCACTATATAGTTTAGGCAGACCTGAAATTCAACCTGTAGTCCAGAATGGCCCCATGGCAATCCTGCCTTAACTACCTAAGTACTGGGCGTGTGCCACCACACTCAGCTTTATTATTATACTTTATTGTAAGTTTGAAATTCCCTTGAGGTATGGATTTTTAACAGTCTCTGTTAATGCTATGACATTCATATTATCGAATCATAAATTATTTCAGGGTTAAAATTTATGTTTATGGCACCAACCCTTATATCCACATAGATGACAAACACAACCATTTCTGTACTACTTAGTAGACTTTTCCATACAATAAAAGATCAACAATAATCATTCTATTTTTATTTAAGAATATTTTATAATCCTCAGGGGTAGTGCTACATTTTTAAAACATTTTTTAAAATCTTAAGCATGTACATAAGAAATACATGGAGATAAATCCTCCGAAGGTCTTTTGTAGATTCAACTTGCTCAGAAGAATTGATGTAAGGAAAGACCAACTTTTAAAACTATTTATCCTGCTAACTACTGTACTAAAATTGTTATTTTCACATAGTATAATATTTTACTTATTATTGCTAGTTTAGAATTATTTTGTCTTTCTTTTAGGGAGATCATCATTCGGATTTGTCATAAATACCAAATTTCCAGTTATTGCCTTGATTTCAATGATTAGCAAGGCAGATTCAAATTAGACATTAAAATTTTAGAGTGACACTCTAATCTCATTGTAGCTCTGTATCTCATGCAAATCCATGACCATAATTTTTTTAATGTAAATCTTAAAAAATGGATTTCAGCATATAAGCCAGCTATTCCGAGAATAATGGGCTGGTATTTACAGTTTAGTTATGACACACATAAAACTCCATAGTTTCTGACCTACACAACAGTCTGATGAGAGGATTGTTTATTAAAAAAATAAGAAGAAGAAGCCAGGCATGGTGTGCAAGCCCGTAATCCCAGCAGTGTGGGAGACTAACGTAGGAGGATCACAAGTTTCAGACCAGCCTGGGAAATTTTACGAGACCTTATATTAAAGTAACAATGAAAAATTTTAAAAATAGGTTGAGGGTAAACTCTCAGTGTAAAGGCCCTGTGAGTTCAATCCCCAGTACCAAACGAAATCCTTCTTTCTCTCTCTCTCCCCCCCATATATAGAGAGAATATAATGTGTTATAGTGTATCATAAGTATCATAATGTATTAGTCTATTATAATATTATATACTTATGTTAAAGTCACATGTAACATGACTAAAAAAGGCTGACATTACTGAATCCTCACTTACATATAAGGTACTGTTACAAAAGGATGCTTAAGAATACAACCCTAACCAGTAAATAAGGACTAGCTTCATGCAAAAGAGAAATAGAATGGTGAAGTGTTGGGTGCAGGAATTAAACCTGCTAGGCCGGCTGCATTTCTCACAATTCATGCTGCATAACTTCAGGAAAAGCTTTCTTTCAGGTTTCCTGGATCTCAAGACAGAGCACACACATAATTTTATCTCTGAACTCTTTTAGAGATGCATACAATCTTCTCTCTATAGTCACACTGATTTAATGGCCTTATAAGTAAGGTAAGTGCCTCGGGTTTATTTGATCAACATACAGGAACTATGCTGCTAGTGCCCACTTTCTACATTTTTCATTCAAAAAGAAACCTCCAAGTTAAACTACACTGTAATTTGTTTCCTTGCACCATCTAGCGGATTTAAATGACAACTGCGGCAATGCTCCACACAATTACAAGTCAATCATGTAACTCAAATTTTCAAATGTAGGTGAACGGTCCTTCAAATAGTTCAACTTTCACAACAGTTCACGTTATTTTTTCCTGTTTCCGAAAGCAATCATGACAACACAGGAGCGGATTCATTAGCGAACGCTTAAATCTATGAGTAAGGAAACACAAGCTCGCACCCTCGCAATCTTTTCACACAACGGCGACGAGGACAGCGGGGCGCACCTCAGTTCTGCCCACTCCTTCTCCCGAATCCAGCGGCTCGCAGGGGCGCTGCGCGCTAGGAGCGTGCGCCGACTCAGTGCGCAGGCGCGCCGCGAGCGGAAGCGGGGAGGCGGGGCCGGCGCGACCAGCGAGCGAGGGCGGCCCGGGCTGCTGGGTGAGGCGCCGAGGCGGTCGGCCGGTGAATCCCGGCCCAGACGCTGCTCCGAGCCCCGCACTCGCGAGAACGTCGAAACAAAGCGAGAGACTTGCGAGCGCTCGCCGCCGCCGCAGCCGCCGCCGCCTGAGACTCCACTGTCCGCCGCCCGGGAGGACGCGGCCCTGAGAGGCCTCCAGGCCTAGGCGCGGCCGCTGGACCCCGACGTGTCGCTGCCGTGAGTAAAACGAGCGCCCTCCGCACTGTCGCTTACAGATTAAAATGGAGGAAATTTCGTTGGCCAACCTGGATACTAACAAGCTGGAGGCCATCGCTCAGGAGATATACGTAGACCTGATAGAGGACTCCTGTTTGGGATTCTGCTTTGAGGTGCACCGGGCGGTCAAATGCGGCTACTTCTACCTGGAGTTCGCAGAAACGGGCGGCGTGAAGGAGTTCGGCCTCCAGCCGGTGGAAGACAAAGGCGCGTGCCGCCTCCCGCGCTGCGCCCTTCCCGGGGAGCCGGGGAGCGGGCCGGACCAGCAGCTGCAGCGCTCGCCCCCGGAGTTCCAGTAGGCGCGACGTGAGAGAGGCTGGGAGTGACCAGGACGATCGTAGAGACTGGTCCTGTGGCTTGCAGGAGTAAGCTGAATAGAAAAGAAAAAAAGAGAAAGAAATCAGACAAAAGCCCCCCAATTTCCCCTTGAAGATCCTGGCATTTAAAAAAAAATCTAAAGTGGAGAACTTTGAAATTCGGATGCTTTTTTAAAAATCTATCTAGAGCCAGCCCTGGTACCCTGGGCAGGAGAAAGTGTACAACCTGGGGGTCACTTAAACACACTTGAATATACACAAGATCCCTGTGCTGCCCTAAGCGCACGGGCGAGCTGTGGCGCGCCCAGCGTGTGAAGTCATTTTGGTCCGCGGACTGTCTGTCTGCCTGATGTCCGGGGTTTCCTTGACAGTGTGGACATTACCGAGGATCAGGTTATCAGTGGGACTGCTCCTGTGATCTCTAAGCCTCTCATGTGGGGTTTTCTGATAAAATGGAAGTAAGATGTGAGATCTGGATACTACTGCTATCAGTTTAGGACAACCAAGAAAACATTCCCTAGTTGAATTTGGTAGGGAACCTCTGTTCCTTTGACTGCAGGAAGAAAAGTTCAAAATTACCTGTTTTCCAAAGGTCCAGCATTTGCAATGATTTCAACAGATTTGAGGACGAGGCCTAAACTTTGGTTGAACACAGACTTCTTCCTTTTCCTCCCATTCAGCGATATAGGCTTGACAGAGAACAACTTGGTTGTATGGACAGGTTGAGGATTCACTTGTGATTCTGTGGAAAGCTAGTAGGGACCTCTGCAGCTACAGTATGCACCATCTCAAACTGGAAGATTCCTATCTGGATATATTGTGCCATGGACATAGCTTAGTAGGGGCATTTTTTTTCCTAGCCTGAGTTACTGGTTACTTAGCCAATCCATGGGTCACTTAGCCAATCCACTTGGTCATTATGTCAGATCACTACTGCAGGGAGAGGACTGAATATAAAAGATATGATAGCTGTTCAGATATGAGTTGTTTGGAAACAGCTTGGAGGGGACCTCTTCCAGCTGCCCTTAAAAATGTGAATGGGTTAGTGCTAGGAACCAAGGGGCAGAACTGGGTCATCTGTTAGCTGCTTGCAGAATCCCTTTACATGTCACTGTTCTTTAAGTTGAACAGTCAGGACTCTGCCATGGTGAACATCCGGACTCTCCACTACTTTTGCTGCCCCTCATAAGGAGAGTCCTTTCCACTTGGTCCCCTTTGGACCATACTGACAGCAAGAGCTGCCCTTTTTTGATTTTGGAAGTAAGGAAGAGACCTCCAATATCCCCTGGCTTTAGGGAGTGGGATCCAGAAGATTGAAAAGTTAGGAATTGCGTATCAAAACTGCCCTCTACTTTACTCCCTGAGCAAGAGTTTATAAAGTGTAGGAGTCCTGAGGTGAACAGAACGGTGCTGCTTTATTTGAAATGTTTTCTTACCTCATTCTGTGCCCCAGTAAGGGGCCCAGCCTCCTCAATGGCTTGGCCCCATGTTCCTGCCCACTGCTCCACTGCCTGTCTGGTGCAGCTCATGACTCCAGGTGCTTCTTGTCACTCGAACCTTCACCTTGACCAATTACAGTTCATCTTGGCTTAATGCTGAAATCTGCCTGATTTCTCTTCCTTGGCTTCTGTTAAGTTTGTATGTTCTTTTTTACCTATTTATGTGGAGAACTCAGAGGAGAACCTGTCTTATGGCTCCCTTGTTTGCATTAGAATGGTAAGAACTTAGAAACTTTTTTATGTGCAAGGCAGTGTCATGCCTAAGCATTTCTCTGTAGGACTGCCTTGCTAGCATGCCCTCCTGTTTTGTTTTCATGAGTTTTATTGCATCTCTTTTTGGATACTGCCTCTTGGGAGGTCAGTACAACAGTGAAGATTGACACGGGCAGGGATGGAGTTTGTCCTCGATCCACTTTCTCTTATCCTTGCTCTGTACATATCTTCTTTATCTCAGAAGGTACTATTTGGACTGTATGGACTGATTTGCATTACATAGTTTAGAGAGTTAAGGAAACCAGAGCAAATGGGCCTTGTGACTATATTACCTTCTCCCGCTAGACTTAGACTTGTCCTGATCAGGATTGAGTTCTCAGTACAGATTGACCTTCAGTCCAAGAGTTGTGGGAACTTTTCAAAAAAATCAAACCTTGGCAGGAATAAATTGCAATTAATTATCTTTGCCCTTGATAATGACTTTAATGATATCTTCTCTGAGAATCCAGAGGAAAGGAGTGTTTGAGACTTTGTCCTGCTTCCAAACAGTGTTGGAAACAAGATAAATAAGGGAGAAGGGAAGTGGTCCACTCACTCTTTTGTGTAGAACACTCAGAGCATGAGTTTACTGTTTGTTTCCTTTCCAGCCTATACTTCTGGTTAGAGGAGGAAGGTGAGGAAAGTAGTTTTGAGTAAAGGTTGGTTCACATTACTTCCCTCCTGCTTTTTGTTTGATTTGTTTTGTTTTGTTTTGTTTTGTTTTTCCCCAACACCATCACCATTAGGGCGATAGTGCTCTGCCCTGGAAAGTTACAAAGTGGGCTCAATCCACAGGCACCCTGAGGGGACACACTACTTTTTAAAGGAGATGATGTTCCCTACAGTATAGTTAACAGTGGTTAGGAATTCTCCCAATCTGCCTTCCCTGTAACCTCAGAATTCCTACCTTTCCCTCTTTAATTGTATTGATCACTCTGTAATCCTGTTATGTATCTGAGTGTGTATGTGTGTATGGGGGAAAGGGGTTCTTTAATATTTTTGTGGTTTGTGGCTTTTTTCCCCATAATTAGTTCCTAATGCCGCATGCCCAGGGGCCACTGCCTGGCATTATCGCATGCTGGGATTATTGGGGGAGGGTAGTGTGAAATTTACCACTGTTCTTTATTTTGAAGATTCTTATTTTTGCATAAGTAATCCATCCTATACAGATAGCTGATTAACTCTCTGTGTTCCCCTCACCCGTATGGCTGCTGGTGTAAATAAACTGCATCTTCTTATTGCTAAACAGTAATAATAAAATTTTAAAAAATGACCTTTTTTGACTTAATTGTATATGTTTTACAGATAGTGACATAATAAATGTTGAGGTACTGTTGAAACTTAGTACTTTATCTCGAAAGCAGGTTATATCAGGCAGTACAAAATTGTTCAGCCTTATTTCTCAAACTTGTCCTGTGAATTTAGCTATATGCAAAAGAAATGAATGGTATATACGAAACGAATGGTACACAATGAATGGCTTCCCTTTTCTTTATGAGCTAGGAAGGTGGTAAAATAAATACAATCCAGAATTACTTCAATAGAATTTGATGTATATTTAATATATGCATTTTACTATCATTTCCAGCTAATCTTGCTTTAAAAAGACAAATGATTCCTAGCAGAAAATGATTCCACCTTTCTAAAGATAACATTTTCCCCATAATTTTGAAACTACTGTAATGCTTTAGCTTTCTCATTTCAAGAGTAATTCTGAAGTTTTTCATTTTTTTAATTTTTCATTTTTTTAATTCATAATCCAGAATCAGGATTGAGTTCTCAGTACAGATTGACCTTCAGTCCAAGAGTTGTGGGAACTTTTCAAAAAATCAAACCTTGGCAGGAATAAATTGCAGTTAATTATCTTTGCCCTTGATAATGACATCTTCTCTGAGAATCCAGAGGAAAGGAGTGTTTGAGACTTTGGCTTGCTTCCAAACAATGCTGGAAACAAGATAAATAAGGGAGAAGGGCAGTGATTCACTTACTGTATGTACAACTCTAGAAATTGTACATCATTCTCATTAATCCTGAACAAAAAAATTTTTTGGTAAATGTCCTGATCAGTAGTTCCACAATGAATGTAATAATTACATCAATAACAAATTCACTATTGGGATCTACTATCAACTAGCATTCAAATATAGCTGAAGCAAAGAATTTTGGATTCTGTTTCGTAGGTTTATGTTTGAATTATGTTTACCGCTTAGTTCATTTTCTAAAATGAGATATTTGTAAGATCTCAATGCTTTTTGAATTCTTAAAAATAGGTATTACTATGTTTTAATACTTAAAATATTCTATTTTATGTTTTTCCACTAATCTCTAAAAATCTCATCACATACCTTCTAAGTAAATACTCAACTTCCAAGATTTAGTATCTTAAATATGCTTAGCCTGTAGTGTCAGATTGGGAACCTAACAAAGGGATTTTTGATGTTCACAAAGATAAAAAATCAAGTGTCTCGAAGTAGTTAAGGAGTCAGGAAGAACTTGCTTTGTATATTGATAGTTAATAGTAATGCCTTGCATTAGAAACTGCCTGAGTTCTAAAAGTTTCTGTAAGTTGTTTTTAAAACGTGTTTTATGAAATGAGAATCTTATCACTGTGCACGATATTAAGTATATATTCACAATAGTGTTCAAAATGATGGATAAATAAAATATCAGTTCTCAGAATAACTTGAGATAACATAAACTTCAGAAGTTTTACTGTGCTGTGAAGGATACAAGCTTTTTCATCTTCATGTTCCAACAGATGCCCTTTTTGCCACTTTGGAGGAAAATATTAAAATGATAGGCTTGTACAAAAGGAGAACTTCAGATAAAACCACAAATCCTTGTTTGTTTTTGTTTTCTTAGTGTTTATTTATTTTTGCTTTACTGAGAATTGAGAACAGGGACTGCAGAGCTATACTTCCACCCTTTGAAAATTTTTGTTTTTATTTTTGTGAGATGAGGTGTCACTAAATTACCCAGGCTGCCCCTGAATTTGCCATCCTTTAGGTCCTGCCTCAGCTTCCTGAATAGCTGGGACTGCAGGTGTACTAGATCATACCTAATCGTTGCTTTTTTTTTCATTTCTGAAAGCATTTTCAATCCTATTATTTGAGCTTTATTGGAAATATGTAAGCAGAAAAGGAAATATGTTGATTTTAAAAATGAAAACTCATTCAGCAGCAGAGTTGCCCATAGCTGAAAAACCAAAAATCTAGAAGTGATAGAAGCAAGAGTAGAATACTGGCGTAGGAACTTCTAGGGTAATGATCTTTATTGAGAAAATACAAATTTTAATTTAATAAGTGAAAACTAATTGAAACCAATTAAAATAGAAAGTAAAACCTATTATACTTAGAAAAAATGTTGAGGCAATAAATGTGCAAACAAAACATTTGTTTTAAAAAGTGATGAAACTTTAAATTTTTTAAATGGACACATCTATAATGATAAGAAAATGTATCCCATTTCTACCCCAATACATAAGACAGAAGAATTTTCCAGACAGTATGGATAACATCTATCAGAAAAACCCATATTGGCCAAATAGAAGATAAAAGAAACTAACATTAGCCAATCATAGCTTATAAAATATAAAAGGTAAACATAATAGGCAAACCAGGTCAATATCAAGAGACAAAATTAGAAAAGTATATTGCTGTTAAAGAAAAATCATGGAAGTTTCACTAATTACAAAAGATAGTCTACTAAAATCCAATACCCATTATTGATGAAATGAAGAGATAATGCAAATGTATATATACGTAACAAAATTTTATTCCATTATAAAGAAGGATCAATTCACGTCATTTGCAAGAAAATGGATCTTGAAACCATAATATTAAGTGAACTAAATCAGACACAGAAAACTAATTATCACATGGTTTCTCTTACATAAAATTAAACCCAAAATTAAAATAAAGGAGAAATGATAAGAAACTGGAAGGTGAACTTCTGGAAATAGGGAATGTGAAGGGGATGAAAGAAAAAGTATAGGGAAGGGAGGAAAAAGGATAGAAAATGATCAAGATACGATTTGTGTATGTACCAGTTACTGAAAATGAACATAAGCTAATGAAAAAGATTTTTCAAACGGGGTTTTTTGGAAAGATGATATAGAACCAAAGGTTATAGAACATCTGTATACTAATAAAGGATATATAAAATCTACAGCACTTAATGTAGTTAATTCTTTATTCTGTAATTATCAGAAGCATTCTTTTAAACACAAGAAGAGATGAAATAAAATTCTCTTGTGCACAGATGATATTTACATGAATATTTTTATAAAGTGTACAAATAATATCATTGGAAGTACTGAAACAATGCAATAATGTTGCTCGATATAAGATCAAAATCCAGTATCAGAAATCAAGCATTTAATGTCACATTTCAAATGTAATACAGCTACCTAGTGACCATATCAAATAATAAGAAAGGAATAAGATTTTATGCACAAATAACAACATTTTCTTCTGATAGATGGAAATATCTGAAATCGAGAGAGATAGGAGGTTGTTATACAAGAGTGTAATATCCTTGTTCCAAATATATGGGTTGAAAATAATCATGATTAAATGTGATTAAATGTTTTCGTATAGCTTGATAAAGTCTAAGATTTATGTGAAAAAGACAGGCTTATAGATAAGTTGGAAGGTTTCACCTGAAACATAAAATGATACGGGTCCCTCAGATAACTTCATGGAAACTGGTGACAGACAGAAGAAAAATAAGGAAAGCAGTTGGTAGCAAAAGGAGAGAAATAATAATATAGATTGGATAAAGTAAAAACTAAACAAGAATTAAGGAGAGGAGATAATGTCTGGATTAACAAGAATAAAAATCTGTGAATGAATTTCACAACTGAGAAAGAACCAAGCTTAAGAGGGAAATATCCATAGTTGTCCCCAAAATGCATGTTGACTAATTATCACTGCCCCATTTACTAGTAGAGTAATTTAGGAAACATTCTTTATGAACTTTGACTTTCTGATTGTAATAATGGAGGTAGCAGTTTACTTCACACAAATAAATTTAAGTTTTAAAGTGGTTAGAGAGGCTGGGAAGATAGCTTAGTGGCACAAGTGCCTGTTGCCTGGCAAGAGCAAGGTCCTGAGTTTGATTCCCTGGTACCAAAAATGTAAATAAATAAAATAAAATAGAAAATAAACTGGTTAGAAAAATGGGTAAAGTTCCTTTCCTGAAAAGGTGGTATTTAAGTGGAAAACAAAGACAAATGTATCAGAGTAAAAGGAGAGTTGGCTATGGGTGTGTTGTATGAGAGGACTGAAGGCAGGAGAGGAGTTTGAGCTGGTGGGTTAGGAAAAAATAACCTCTCAAATAACAATTTTAATGTTCTAGTAAAGTCAGAATTTTGTAACTTTGATAGACAGAAACCCATTTTTCACATAAAAGCGTGTATCTTTTCCATTCTGATCAAAAAGTTTCAGGATTGTATTTATAGGAAATGTCATTTGACAATAGTTTTTACTTTTGGCATAAATCCTTTACTAGTGTTGTAGTCAGGGTTTACAAGAGAAACAATTTAATACAGGAAGCATAATTTATAGGATTATTTTATAATATTCACCCCAAGAGTCAAATGCAAGAGTGAGGGAGATCTGTCCACATACTAAAGACCGAAAGATTCCAGCTAAGGACCTGAATGTTACGGCAATGTCGTGTATGAGTCTGGCTGAAGACCTAGTGCTGTTGGCAATGTCTTCCATGAGTCCAGCTGGAGGATTAGAGCGCATAATGTCTCATGCAAGTCTATACCAAGGATCAATACTAGAAAGATCCAATGCAGTCCGTGGTGGAAGCTAGAAGGTCTGTGCCAGAGGAATGAAGGATCTGTGCCAGTGGGCTGAGGAACCTGCACTGGAGCCAGGAAGCAACGCTGAAAAGAAACAGAGCTCTCCCAAGGAGAACCACAGCCATCCTCAGCAACACTGAGGACCCAAGCTCCTAGGACTGAGAAAAATGAGTTCATATCAGGAAAACCAGGATGACAGGCTTCTCCAGAAGAATCAACAGCTCACTATCTTCCCTTCATTTCCTCTTTTATGCTGTTGACAGCAATCCTCAGGTGGGTCACTCACACCCAGAACAACACTTACACAGTTGAGCTGGGTGTTACAAGTTGACCGTTAGTTCATCCACCACAGCTAGCATCTTGTCAGTTGAATAAAATAAATCATAGCTAGGAATATTATTCCACAGAACTCTAAGCAAATACTCTCTTATCAATATGATACCTAATATATGCAAATTTAA